AGTGCCATGCAAGTTTTAATTAGAATCGGGTGGTTTGGCTACAACAATTTTTGTCTTTTGAGAATGCTAATTTTGTTTTTGATCTGACCATTGAAAATGGCGAGAAGCTTTGTATTCGTATGAGTTTTAGTTTTTGTTAATTTCCATGCAAAATCAAGAACCACGAATAACTATCAAAATGGGTTGGAAACCAAAATAATCATCAAAAGCACCATCAGAAACCACAAATAACCATCAAAACTTCATCTAATTAAATTTCATTCAGCCAAGCAGCATTATCAAAATTTTTCCGAGTTATTGGCAAACTGGCTTAAAATTTTTTATTTTTAGTTCAGTTGCTAATAAAGCGAGCGAAAAGGCTTACAAAAGCTTATTTATGCTTAATTTTAGCCCTGAAATTTTTGTTTTACGGAAGTTTTTGGGTGAAAATTATTTTCAATGACGACTATCACGATGGCGAACACGCATTTAAAAAGAGTGCCGACTGTTATTCTCTACTTCTTACTCTTCACTTAGCAAACAAGTTTGACCAGCCTCCTCTAATTGTCGACTGAAAAATAAAACGCAGGGTGTTTTTTAAATATTTTCTTAAAGAAAATTATAGCGAACTGTTATTTGATTAAAATTTGTCACGCAGTTTGCCAAAAGTATTCATGAATTTATAGGTTTGCTTTTGTTTGACAAGTTTTTTTAAAACCTCCGAACTGAAATTGTCGGCAGATGATTATTCTGTCTTTGATTCAAAGATTTTCATTTGCTACCTAATAACCAGAGCTGACACAAAAAATAATAATTTGGAAAAGTCAGATATGTCTTAAAAACAATTCGAGATAAAAATAGTTTTTTTTTGTCAAAATTGATATTGAATGCTTTATGTGGATCGAATGCTTTTCTGGATCAGTTCTATAAGTAGTTGATAGCATCATAAATGTTTTCAAGGCCTGCCTTGATTTTTTTAAATTCTATTCAATTTGATTTTGTGTTATAATGGGAATTATAAACTTAGAAAAATTCAAAAGTTTCTGCAGAAAAATTTGAAAATGAAAACTTTTCTGATTTTTTTGATAGATTTTTTAAAATCATTTTCGACCAAAACTGCTATCGAATTTGCTTATTTTAATATGACTGTCAAAAAAGCTTGCGAATACTTTAGTTTTATGTTCAGATCCCTTTATCACATCACTCAGAAAAAAACTAAACTAATTTGAAAAAAATTTTTTTTTTTTTTTTGTGTTCTTAAGACTATGGTCGGATCATTCTGTGCTACTTGCACAGTAACCGGCTATCCTTGATTCTATACTTATTTGTGTTGTTTTTAATTCGACCATTGAAAAAAGGAGGAGCATTGTATTCGGGTTTGTTTTTGTTCTTTTTGTCTTTTTTGTTTTCCATGCAAACTCACGTGCCACAAACAACCATCGGAATGGGTCGAGTGATATATCATATTGAAGCCTTTTAAGCCGCAATTCGAATGACTTTGATTTTTTCAAAAAAAATGTTCTAGTGTTTTTCAAATCAAGTTCAATTTTGAGCGAGTAGCGCGTTCGAGTAATGCTCGTAATATGAAAGTTTTTTTTGTACCTTTTTCGGCAAAAAAACTAGTTCTGATGTTTCATTTAGCGCTCAATTGGCTATTAAAAATTTTTGATAATTTTGATTTTATTGTGCAAAAAAAATTGAAAAATCTTTTGAAATTGATTTATTTATTTTTTCATTGTGTTTGTTTTTTATTCCTTTTTTGAAGACATATATTCGATTCGTGATCATGCATGCTTTTTTCAATATATTTCTACGCGATCAAACGTTTCAAATCACAAAAAGCATTGAAAACGGCACTAATTTCAAAACACTTAATAAATAATTTTTTATCTTCTTTAAAATTATGGTGGGAACAATTTGTGCTATTTTATTCTGCATATATATATATATATGAAATTGTTCTGTTTTTCTTCCGACCATTGAGAAAACCGAGGAACTTTGTATTTGGGTTTGTTTTAGTTTTTTTTGCCTTTTTTTTTGTTTTCAAGCAACGTCACGGGCCATAAATAATCATTGGAATGAGTCGATTGATACATCATATTGAATCTTTTTAGCCGTAATCCGAACGAAAAAAAAAACTTAGAAAGTTTATCCATTGTTGAGAAAAACGGGTTGGAAATTATGGAAATCTAACCTATTTTCATGCGAGTACCGTAATGGAGTAACTCTCGTAACATGGAAATTGATTTTTTAAATAAATATAACTAGTTTTTGATGTTTCTTTTAGCTTTTAATTGACAAGAAGGTTCTCTGAAAAAAATTTAAATTTTTGTGCAAGAAAATAGAAAGAAATATATATTTTTTTCTTTTTCTTTGTTTTTTATTCATTTTTTGAAGTGTGTGGTCAATCGTGATTAGCTCAGAAATTTTTTACGCGATCATAGTTTTCACACCATGCATTAAAAAGACCATAGTTAGATGCCACCTTTTACACCAAGTTGTTAAGAGCGCAAATAGGTCGCATATCTTAACCAGTCTATAAATTGGTTTTTTGCATTAAAATAATCAGAAAAAAGTTAGGCAGTAAATGCTAGTAAAAACAAACTCAGTTAGTTTTAATTTCAGTTACTTTTTTTTTATTTCAGACCGTCAAAAATATAAGCAGTATAAAAGTTAATCAATAAACTACCCGGGTTGAAATCCCCACTCGAAAAAGACCATTTTTACACCTCAATACAGACAAAAAACTTATCTTACAAATTCCAAACATGATAAGAAATGTTACATTTCTACAAACAAATCCTGAAGGGAACAATCCAAGCTTCAGGGAAATTTTTTTTCGTCTTCGAAGAAAGTGACGGAATATTTGATCTCGAGGTGGTTTTTTTTTCTCCAGAAAAGTTTGAACTTTTTAACTGGAAATTTTTGACGAAACTTTTAATCATTTGAAGGGTATTGCTGTACTGAGCCTAAATTTGAAAAGATATTTTACCTGCGATCATTTTTGATAAAGTTATGGTGATTTAAGGATTGCTATTTTGGCCAATTTGGGACAATCAACGCGCGATATCCTTCGCGCTATTAACGCGTGAGCGGAGATTTAATCCGTCTTAGAAACTTTTCCAAGTTGGTTTAAGGAAGCTTAATTGCCAAAATTGACATGTTACTAGTAGCCAAAATTATCAATTTATATTTTACATGGATGTAGGGGGATGATTTTCAGATGATTTTCACAGAGTCTCAATTCTTTAAATTTATTTCTTTTTATTATTTTTTACATTTAATTTTTTTTTCAAGTTATTACTGCTCCATAGACTTTAAAACGCAGTCGGAACATTCAGGGGTTTTGCCCTGATGCGAGCAGTCTTGTTCTGATTTTAATAGCAATGCCACTTTCAAGCTGAAAAAATTTTTTTTTGGAAATAAATACATGCAAAAATGTGTCTATAAATTTTGAGATTTTGTGTATAACGTACTTCAGCCTGAATTCTTAAACCAAATAATACAAAAAGGTTTTTTTTTCGGAATTTAAACTGGAAATAGTTGATGCTTTTATATGGTCAGATATATTTTAATCTGTCAAAATATGGTAAATTGTTGATCATCAAATAATACAGAATGTTTTTTTCCGAATTCAAACTAGAAATAGTTGATGCTTTCATATGGTCAGATATACTTTGATCTGTCAAAATATGGTAAATTGTTTATCATGAAGATTTCATATATCTTTCTGTACCGATTTGCTCCTGCGCTGAGTTATGAAGTTAGTATTCAAAACCTTAAAAGATCAAAAACCCGTTTGACTTACAAAAGGTAAGCGGAAAGCTGAATATAAGAACGATGATCTAATCAGGCTGCAATATATACTATCTTTCTGAGGTGAAGTAATGTGTTTCGCTTTGAGGATGCATTTCAGAACGTGATTATCTTGAAAACTTACCATAAAAGGATAGTTCATTTCCTCGTGAAGACAGTGACTTATAGATAAATCTGATACTTTTCTTTGTACCAAAATTTTAACCCGAGCTATTATTTGACCTCTGAAAACTCTATATAACATCTACTAATCATTTTTAGGCACAAAAAATTGATAAAATCTAATTGTTTTTACATCGCTTTCAGTCTTTGGCGAAATTGGAGGCAGTTTTAAAATCCAACATCAATTAGACAGGATATTGACTTCAAAATATCTACTATACGGCTTTTTTTTATTGAGGTGCTTATTTGAATATGGAAACAAAAAAACTGAAATAAAGAGAGAGCAAAGAGAGCAAAATTTACATGTGCCCAGAAAGAAAAAAATAGACGCAGAAAGCACACGAAATAATCAACGTAAGATAGGTAAAAAACTCCGTGGTCAAAATGGAACCAACATATTTAAGGAAGGGTCTCAACGCATACCTCCCAATTGGCAGATTCTTACAAAACTGATTTTAAAAATATCCAATCTAACAAAACATCGTCGCTTTGTTATTATAAAAAAAAACTAATACCGCCCAATTTTGAAACAGTTGGGAAAAAAAACAAGGGAAAAAAATCAATTTTAAAAAAGACCAATTATATGAATTTGTCTTATGTTTTTGGATTTTTTCCAAGTAAAATGTCAAGGAATCGTTCCGAAAAAGTCTGGATTTGCGGGAAAATCTTAAAATTATGCGAGAAATATAAAGTCATGAGCTTTCCTGTAGAAAACTTTTGGGAAGAAAAAAATTTTAAAATTTGTTGAAATTTTCGCCACAGAAAAAGCTAAGTTTTTCAAAATCCTGACCAGATTTCCAGGTTTTTAAAATACTGATTAATTGGTTATCGGCTAATCGAGCCAGGTAAGCACAACATATAGTCTGCTTCACACGGGGAATATTCAATTTTGTCCCCAAAAAGGGAATGAAATCTGCGCTGCGCCATTACAGGAACTGCAGCTCAACGCATTTTCCCAACACAGAGCTTTCAGGTTAGTTGTTGTTACGTCAAATCCGTATTTTTTTGCACTTTTCACACAATTATTCCTTCTTCATTTGTTTTTTTTTTCAAAAACCGTCCAAAAATTACGCATATTTCCCAATTTCTAATTAGAGCAAAATATTACACGTGTAACTTCACTGGTTGAAAAGATTGCAGTTTTTTCAGTTTATAAAACAAAACAAAATCGAGCTGAAATTGTGGAATTTTTGTTAGCTCAATCTATTGGTAAAAGAAAATATCTTTCTATTTATATTATTTTAGTGTCCCAAAAATCTTTTTTTTTCAGAATCACAGCACTTTCATTAACACAGCTCAGCTATGCTTACAAGTTATATGATAATAACTTGAAACATTAAAAAAACTGAACACCCAGGTTTCAAATTTCTCAACTAGTTTATTCGGTTCCAAATTTTCAGTTTTTTCTCAGTAGATTTAAAAGCACGTCAAAAACTCTGTAGACCATTTTTTTGCCACCGGTTTTCCGAGCCAACACTATTGGAATTTTTTTCTAAAATAGAAATTAAACATTTCAAATTTTCCCGCTCACAACAGATTGAAATTTGAAAAAATGAAACAATCAAGCCACTTTTTTTAAGTATAACTTAATAATTAATGAGAACCATTTATTTTTATTTTAGAAGCGGAACAAATTTGTAAATTATGCATTACTCGGGCACAATTTTCTATGTCGTCTGTTGCGTTCTAATCCAGCCCATACTTGGCCTGGCCCTCCCGCAGTTCCTGTCCGATTTCCAGTCCCCCTACGCCCAAGACTTCCGCTCCTTCCTCGTGCCCACCGGATCCAAGAGGAGTTACGACCATATCCCGCCCCCGAGCGACCAGGACTTGGAAAGGCACGAATTTAGCTTAAAAAGTTTTCATCTCAAACGCTTGCAATAAATTATCTGCTAAAATTTGCTAAAAATGTGCTAGCAAAAAATGAAAAATATGAACGATGTGGATGCAAATCATTTGAATATCTTAATTTTTTTTGATTATTTCAGGTACAGTTAGATTTGGATCGCTGCTTTTGGCTCGAAATTAACAAGATTTATCCAGTCGATAATTGTTTTAAAACACATTCGTTCATAAAATTGGGCTCACGAACTTGTTCTGAAATATAACATCAATTTTTATCAACAGAGTCATAATTATTCAAAATGAAGTTATTTTCTCTTCATAGTTGTAACTGTCATTCATTTTTCTAACTGAACCCCCCTTTTAGATACTACAGTGACTTCAACAAGGGGGAGAATCCTGTGCACGAGGGGGATTTGCGAGAGAAGTTCGGACTGACTCCCGACTTCTACGACTTGGACCCCCGATCCGAGTATGCAGACAGCAACTTCCTCAAGTCCCTCACCAACGAGCAGATGAAGGTCACGGGTAAGTGAAAGGAAAAGATTGTGAAACACTCTTTTTTTATTGCTACCTTAGTCGATATCCCGCCGAAACACCGCTCAAGATTTGAGCGGTTTGAGTGGTTTTTTGACCGCTCAAGTCGATTGCTCTCAAACCGCTCAAAATATCGCACGACACGATCAAACCGTTCAAAACAGTTCGAAATCACTCAACTCCTTGCAAGAACAGCTCAAACCGCTCAAACCGCTCAAACCGCTCAAACCGCTCAAATCTTGCGCGTTTTTTTTTTGAAAATTTATCCAAAAATTTTTTTTTCCTTTGAATTCGTTGCAGGGTTCACACCATCAATCCTTTAAAAGTCTGAATCTCTACTCTAACCTTATTTAATACCAAAATATACGCCAAAAACCAACCTAAAATGTTCTAGGGTCCAAAAAGCAGTTGTCACGGTTCCTTGCGTATCCTAAAAATTCAAATGAAACCGTTCAAAACTTTTTAAATAACCGTTCAAAGCCGCTCGAAAACCGGTGACACCGCTAATCCTAAACCAAGATTTCGAGCGCAATTGTCAAAAGAAAACACTCAAACCACTCAAATCTTGCTTAAATTTAGACTGGAAACCTTGACTTGGGTTTGGTTAAAAATGAGGAAAGAGTACATCTCTTAGCCGTGTAAGGCAACCAAGCAGATATGAAATTATACACAGTGACATCACGTGGATACCTGCAGCATTTCCGTTAATGCAAAAAACCGATTTCTGTAATTATAATAAATTCAACCTAAATATCAAGGTCAAACTTCAGATTGCGCACGAAGCGAACTCTCACTTTTGGAACCAGATCCAAACTATAATTTATTATTGGTTATAATTTAGATATTTTATCCCTATAAAATATTAAAGACTAACCAATCACACTCCGTCAAACTAACAACCTACTTATTTGTAAGTGCTGAAATTACTTGTAATTTCAGCACCAGAGCGATTTGAGTTTAACTTACAACTTTGTTGCTTTCTCCAAGAGACCGACTCGTAACAAAACCAGTATACTCTAGATTCTAGATCTATTGAGACTAGGAGATATAAGAGTAAGATTAAGATCGGTATTAGACTAAGAAGTTGCACGAATCTATCCGGCCGGAAATAAGATAGCGTGACGAGCAGACGGTGTACCTTATCTGAAATTACTCTATGAGTTGACATCCCATCCCAACTCATTTGGTGCAACCAAAAGTCTCGAACAAGACCTTAAGAAACAAATTAGCTTAGAACTAACCAAATAGATTAGAATTAGCCAAAAAAAAACATTTCCGAAAATGTTACATGACAACAATTTAATTGAAAAGTCTCTACGACTCAATAGATCAGAGCCATCATTCCGAGCAATACGAGAACTACCCGGTATTGGAAAAAGACCTCGGACAAGAGATGATATACGACTACAAAGGAACTTACCATTAAGTTTCATGATCGTACGGCAAAAGCCAACACAAACTTTTATATTTAGATTTTTATTAGCATTGAATTTAGATTTTCATTTGCAAATATAGTATCAATTACAGGTGCTGAGCTTATTATTGTACAAAAACGACAAATTAAAACATCTCTAGTCGTTCTCTTCAAAAATCTGCATTAAATTTAAAAGATATCTGGAAAAAAGATTTACTGAAAATAAAACTATAAAACTTAGTTAGTATGCATACAAATTTTTAATATATATAAATCATCTCTTCATCCCAGCTTCATCACCGAAAACATAACAGCGAATCATAAATCTATTAACATCATCAAAAACTAATAAAACTAAAATTTTCTATCAATTAAACCTTAACTTAAATTATAAAGGCCTATCCTAATTCTCATTTTCATATAAATTATACTTATTTAAATTTTAATGATCATCAAGGCTCATCCTTGGATCAAATAGAACAATTTTGTTCTCACCCTCACAATTAATAAAGTGTCTAACGACCTCAAGCTTCGATTCACTACCCAACTCTTCCTCAAGACCCAGGACTAATAGAAATTTTTCAATCAAATTAACCATTCTAATTAGGATAAACAGTGAAGAACTTCGGTTATTCATCCTTCACTTGACCCCCCCCCCTCTTACCTGACCCAGGATAATACTTAAACTTAGTAGGTTTAAAATAGTATCTAACGAACTAATTGTTTTCTTATTATACCTGAACCTTGTGGATCGATTTACTATTCTCCAACACTTGATCACAATCAATACCCCTAGGTAAGATTAAGTAAGTTAACACCTTAACTTAGACTAGCCACGAGAAAGTAAAAATCATTCTCAGGAATCGATATATACTTTTCTCTCCAACCCTGAATACATGACCCAAGTTAGGCTAACCACAAAAAATTGTAAGAACTAACAGTTTAGGACATTACAAGTCACTAATCCCAATATTGCACCCGTCATCCTAAACTGTATGTCACAAGACAATTTGAGAAATAAATAAACATTCATATTACACAATTGTGAAATAAGCAACGAAAAACATGATATCAGAGTCACTCCACACAAACAAACAAACGGATATATTAGAACAAAACGACAAACAATTAAAAGGAAAATTTGAAGCAAACAAAGACAAATCACACGAAAAAGATTCTCAAAGCGAAGAAACGCAGTCTCCGAATCAGAAACCAGTAACTTAGAAGAACTTTACAGGTTAAAAGATTCCATAAACAAAAATTATCAAGTTAATGATTTATTATATTTTTCTGACTCAGAAACCACATCACAATCATCAATACAAGGAAAACGAAGAATAAAAAAGACATACAAAAACAAACCAGTACGTCTATACAATTGGAATCAACCAAAAAAACACTTTGAAAACTTTACATTAACAGTCATAAAACACAAAAATGGATCAAAATGAAGAAAGCGAAGACGAAAACTCCATTCTTCCATTTTTAATCAACCCACTCGTTGAAGATAGAGGACAAGCACAAATTTGTCAAATCGCAAATTTGTCAAATCGCAAATCGCAAATTTATTCGAAAAAGGAATTAGTCCATGTACAGCAGAATTTCCAGAAATAAAAATCGAAAGACAAATTATTGATCACTATTTAAAAGGAATATGTAATATAACACAACAGTAAGAAATCTATTCCATAGAAATCAAATCACCAAGTACGTTTCATGGTAGATATCCAGTTCAAACAGACGACGTAGATATAAAATTTTCAAAAGTTTTCACAGAACACATAAAAAAATTTACAACGTCAAAACTCACAAAGAGCGAAATCAATATTCACTAACGATGTATTTTGAATAATCTATAGTTATTTATCTATACTAGAAGAAACAGAATCTCAAAGAACTTCACCAGTTCAAACATCTAGACATACAGCTGTAACACATGAAATTGCAATATTCTCCGATATTTTAATCGCAATCCGTGAAAATTTAACCATCAACGAAGTTTCACAAAATGCTAAAAACGATTTACAAAAAATCTTAGCTGGGTTTATCGTTGATTATTTTACCTATAATTTTGATTCAATCTCACAAGCAAAACAAATTTTAGACTCCAAAATTCAACTGATGAAACTGCCCTAGCAGAACAATCAGATTATGTTTGGGACCCTGAATGGTCTCATCCACTATTCCTGAACATACCAACAGACATACCAACAGTCAAGCAATTAGCACAATTTCTATTCACAAAGGTTATTTTAAAGTATATCCACTCACAACTCTCACATCCTTCCTCAATTCGAGAACCAGATTGAGATTTAATAAAACAAGTTGATAAACTAGAACAAGCAGAAATCACAATGAAACTGGAAGAAACAGAAAATCTCAAACCACAGTATGTTAATGATATTCAAACCACTACAACACAAATAAATAATATACACAATTCAGATATAGATTTATCCGAAAAGATCAATGAAATTTTGAATATATATGAGAAAATTACAAACTTTAAAGGTGAACCATCCTTCAAAAAATGGTGTAACTATTGCCGAAGATACGGACATAGCATTGCTGAATGCAAACAAAAACAACAAGACAACCAGAATAAACCACAAAAGTACAAGGAACCAAACAAATCATTTTATCAGTACATGAAAAAAGATCAAAATTTACCAAATAAGAACATTCACAGTAATAATAGTTCTGGAAAACCACTTCCAAACAGTTTAAAATATTCAAGAAACCAATCACCTTATAACTCTAATTACAGAGGCAGATCACCAGACCAAAAAAATTCACGTAATTTCTCACAAAACAGATAGTCGAAATGATCAGTATCGAAATAATTATTCACGAAATAATTATTCACAAATAGTCGAAATAATCAGTATCGAAATAACTTTTCACCATGAAACTCAAACAGACCAGAATATTCGTTTGATACCAGTTCCCATTCACACTCTAGGAATAGACACTTTTCTATTGATAGATCAAGAAATTCATCGTACAATAGACATCAAATAACGATATCAACGATACCAAAACAAAAGATCACGAGATTATTCAAGCAACATCTCGAATCATCAAAGATCTAACTACAACAATTATCAAAATAGATCACGAGATAACTCACAAAACATAAACTCAAACTATAACAATAGACAAAGAAACTACTCTCAATCACCTCATAGGAATAATACACGTTATCCAGATTCTCAAAACAAATATAGAAGCAATACACCATAACATCGAAGACAAATAAATCAAGTACAAACAACTGAAAGAACCAATTCAGACCCCCCTGGTTTTGATAATACAGACAGTACTGAATTACAATTAAATCACATCAATTACGAATCTACAGACAGTGAAAGCGATACAGAAAATACAATTTCAGTCAACATGATAAAAGTTGAAAATGACTATGAAACTGTTACGTACGAACAACCATTTCATTCACATGTCTATGAAAATCAATTAGAACTTCTTTTAGATTATTACAATAGACCTAGAAGTAATAACATACCAATAGAGCAAGAGTTAAATGAAGCAACGACATTAAACTAACCTGAAAAAGAAC